TCGAATAATCGCGAATATCTTGATAGTCGGCGCTCGAATTATTGGTTCATAAGATTTTTAAAATCAAGCATTATTAGAAATGTCTTGTTAAAAAAAAAAAAATTAAAAAATAATAAACAAAAGTAAAAGTTTTAATCCTTTAAATCGCTGGCATTTTAGAAAGCATTATTCAGTCGGTTTGGTCAAAACAAACTTTCGGTTATGAAATGCCTGATAATGTTTTGATTTTCTACGAGATTCGGAAGTCGTAGCCCGTTCCTTTGGCTAATGCTACGCAACCACGATTAATAATAGTTATTTATGGTTTAACAACTCGTTAGGAGACAATAACACTTCTATCGCCATTAAAAAATTACGAGGCTCTCGTGAAGAAGAAGAAATCTTTATCGAAGGCGGGGAGCATGTTCTCGCAGCAAAAGAAATCCCTACGAGACGCAGATGTGCGGAGGAATTTGGCCGAAGGCCATGCAAAAAATGGGCAAGTCCTTTTGAAGAAACATAATTACTTCCTGGGATTTTATTTTTCGATAAAAGGATATTCCCCTAGAATCGGGCTGCCCCAGGTCCGACTAGCATCAAAATACACAGGATCTTGATGCGCCTTAATTTGCAACGAGGCACGTTGGAATTCGTTGACTGCACGCGAATGCGTTACGAGCATTGTTGTCCAGCCGCGTAAGAGTACTAATTGCAGTAACGGTAAGCCGTTAAATTTCCGCTTGCCGGGATGACGAGGGACGGGATGGAGGGGACTGATGGGTGGGTGATGGTGGGAGAGTAGTCTCGCATTCTGAGCTCAGTTGACCCTCGTTGACATGCGGCTTAGCCGTTAACGTCTCCCCCCCCCCACCGCCACCGCCACCGCCACCGCCACCGCCACTGCCACCGCCATCAATGCCCCATTGCCCTTTCCGCGCTCCTCGGCGCTCAGTCTCTCGTCATTACTACTTTTTCCATTCTTTACACGGCGTCCCGTTCAAGTCGGCTGCATAAATCCGAGGCGCGAGGCTAAAATTGAGCACGTGCTCGCAGATTTCATCGGCCGATGCCTTACATCATCCGCCTTTTTCTCAATGGACTCCCGAGCTCCCGAGCACCCGACCACGAAGCTCGCATTATCTTTACTTTTTCTTCCTACTGACGATACTCCCGTCGACGGACGCTCGGTTTAACGAGCTGATGCGGTACGGCATCGCCGTGGCGGCTTGAGGGGAGCGAGGAAGAGGCGGGAGAGGGCACGAGCCGAAGACGAGTTGCTACATACAAAGAGTGTAACGCGTGTGCTCAGCCCTTGCCTGATTTTCCACCGCTCCGCACCCCAGTCCAGGCTTATTATTTATTCCAGAAAATTGCCAATGATTTGCTACAAAGGAGCAAAGCTACCTTTTTTTACATTTATTAGCTGCACAAGTTTTTCTGCGAGCTCGCACGACGTAAATACGTGCTTCGGGAAAAGTCGCGCCTGACGCGTACGCAGACACGAGTGTGTACTAATACCACGCAGATATGCGCAGCCGGCCGCCACATGTTTAAACTCCTTCATCCGGAGCTTTTGAGCCCCGAGCAAAAAAGTTTTGACGTAACGGTGAAATTTTCTCGCAAACGCGATTTCGATGATTTTCAAACTTTATGAGCTTGCCAAGCATGATACTTATAGCTTCCCCTTTTCATTGCCGAACTACCAGTTGGTGCACTAAGGACAGCCTCTGGAAATCATTACTCTGTTTTCGGACATTTGCTTACTGCGTACATATTTCGGTCATATTATCCGAACCTTTGGACAAAAAGTCTGCTGCACGAACGAAATATCGTGAGAAGCAACTAGTTGTTTATGCATCATACGACTCTTAGACTTTAATGATTCCGTTGTATCATAAAAGTGTTATTTAAAAAAATAAAAAATAAAAAATTAAAAAAAAATTCAAAAAAAGTATACGTATATATATATATATATATAAACACGAAATCACTAAAAACTGTTAAAATACAGAATTTGAAAATCTTATGAAGCAGTGTGATAATAATTTTCAAGCGCTTGAATAAAAAAAATGATAAGGAAATTGTAACACGAGCTGTTGCTATAAACACCCTTAGCTCATTTTCTATTAAGACGCAACAGTATTAACTTTAACACTTAACCGATAATGTTAATCTTAGCTAATACGTACAAAAAATTTTTATTTAAAAATTGATATAAATTTCTACATTTACAAATATATATGAATTAAATATGTGTGTTGAGTGTGTGCATGTGTGTACATAATACGAATACATAAAAATAATATATAAATGCAGTTCAGCAAAGATTTTATGTCATTTTAATTGTAACCGATATGACAGCTTAAAAATCATGAATCAATTAATCGTAAATTACTAAATTTCATTTAAGCGATATAATTCTTTCGCAAGTTCGCTTCGCAGACATGAATCTCTTATCGATAGTTGAAACACGAATATCGATACTTTTGAATAAAAAATATATGCCTAACAATATTCCAGTTTCATAATACTCTTCGCTCTTCCATGTAAGAGTGTATGTGAAAAATTTATGGAAAGTAATAGGCTCGATGAATCGAAGGTAAAAAATCGTTGAATCCGTAAAATGTTTTAAGTATGCACTAACGTTATTTAAACCATAAATAATAAGTTTATTATAACCGAAAGTATTTATGTGGGACGAATCTAGTGAAATAGTAAAAAGCATCGAAGCCCCTGGGAATACGAAAAGTTTATAATTTTCTTTAATGGTGCGTGTGTGGATAAGTGAATAGATGCGTGTCAACAAAATATCGATAAAGCATTCGATTAGTTAGAATTGATAGCGTCAATTGCCAATAATATACGTCGAGGATGAAGCTATCGGGAAACTCGTTTTCTCGCCACTCATCAAACGCCTTAACCATGAACACGATGAAAAGTTTTTATAAATGTCGTTCATAGACATTAGTAAAAGATCTCTCGAGCGTCCGTTCTTCTCAAACGAAATATGCCAGTGTACGTATAAAAACGCAAAGTGAGAGAGAAGGAGAGATAGGGAGCGCGTGTGTGTGTAAAAAAGAGGCGGAGAAAAAGAGAGGCAAAAAAAGAAAAAGATGAAACAGAGAGATAATAAGGTAGATCGAGTGCGCAGGAAGTGTGCATCGAGTGCATTTTAACGTGAACGTGTATAAATAGGGTAAATAAGTGGCGTTGGGTATCGTCGTCGTCGTCGTCGTCGTCGTAGTCGTCGTCGTCGTAGTCGTCGTCGTCTTAGTCGTCATTTTTATCGTTGTCGACTCTAGACAATCCATCGGCTCCATCGTTTATTTACATAATAAGCGCGACGACATTAATCGCTATAATCAACGTGAGATCATCGGGCGATTCCCGCGCAGTCGCCGCCGTCCAGCTTCGTTTATATCTCCTATAACCAGTCGAATATCGTTCGATTAATCCGTCGTCGCGACTCGCATGTTATAATAAAGCCGAGCGACGTCACGGCTTCTGTTTCCTCGTGGCTCGCGCGTTCGTCTCCCGGTACTTATTAATCGGCCGAGCAATGCGTTGTACGCGATGCGCAACGAGGAAAGAAGCGTCGCGCTTATCTTAAGCTCTGTGTAACATCCTCGCCTCGACGATGTATCTAATCTTAATGGAGCGCGTGTTGCGTCGATGTATGGATCGTCGGATGCTCGTGGATCAGGGGGATTAGGCGCCGCTCAAATAATAATAATAAAAATAATTAGCCAGTGTTTACGCGAATGCCTGCTTATCTGCCGGCTTTTCCGACCTTTGTATGCACGATTTTTCCTGTATGGCGCGGCACTGTGAAAGTCCGTAGGCACGGAACTAGGCAGCGAGACGTCGAGCGAGTCGATTCCTCGTCACTTTATCCTGATAAAGCTTTCGATTGCCGACTGCCTGCTAAAAGTTTTCTCCACTTGTATTTAAAATTAGCCAGCCTATGTTATTGCCGAAGGGCAATTCCTGCCGCCAAAAAAAAAAAAAAAAAAAAAAAAAAAAAAACAACAACAATATTTCTTTTTCCTTGCAATTTTAGTGAAAATAATAAAATCAAATAAAGATATTAATAATTCACAAGCAGCTTCGAAAATTTTTACATTTAAATTGATAGACGGATGTCAGTTAAGGCCTGTATCGTTTCTCATTTCGAGGCTATTTTCCCGTCAAATAATCGTTCAAGTTAATTATAACGTAACTTTAAGTTCGAAACAATTGTTACCGATACAAAATATGTGTCCGTATTACATAATCACAAATCTAATAGAAATAAAATTTTGCCACAAAATACACCTATATAAAGTTCATATTCGTCCTGATTATTCGTTAGCCCTCGTTTTTTCGTCCCATACGTCCACCTTCATTTTTTTCCTAATACGCGTAGCGTCTTTCGCGAATCGTACGCTTCAAATTTTTCAATGACGTCAATGCAATTATCGTGTGCATTATTGTTGCAAATGTACAATTTCCATAATGTACAAGCTAACGTAATCTACTCAATGAGAAAGTATTCGTCCCTTGGGTACTTGGAGCTTCTTACAAAATAGTCGTTTAAACACTATTTTAGAACTAATCGATTTGTGTAAGAAAGAAAATGATCGGATAGAGCGATAAACTTGAATGACATTACAATGTTTATATTTTTTAACGTATATTTCTGTACACACATTTAACTATTACCATTAAAGAAATTAAAAATGAAATCCATGGTAATAGGGTTATTAATCAATTCACTAGCTAAATGACGTCTACCCATATCCAAGGTAAGATAATTATTATCATTTCAAATGATAAAGATGGCACGACAGGCACCAATTGGACTATCGTAAAAGTTCATCTCGACGTGTTTGTAAAAAAGATTTAGGATTCGTTCGTTACGATATTTGCGTTCGAAAAAAATGAGTGCTCGGTACATACGGAGGCATAAGGGCAATGTGAGGAGCTCCCGAGTAGTTTAAATATATAAATAACGGTTAATCATCTTCTGTTTTGATTCGCAGAGCCAGGCCCTGGCGCTGACCCACAAGGCCTCACCGCCCTCGCGGCCCAACAGCAGCGAGCCTTCGCTATCCAGGAGTCCCCCATCCGGACAACAGCCACAGCAACAACAGCAACAGCAACAGCAACAACAGCAGCAACAACAGCAGCAGCAACAGCAGCAGCAACAGCAGCAGCAGCAGCAGCAGCAGCAGCAGCAGCGGGAGACACAGGCCCTGGCCCGGGCGCACCAGCCGAGTCCGACTCCGATCGGTGCCCACCAGGTCCAGACGCCGGCCACTGTAGCCCAACCCTACGCCGCTCACAATCAGCACCTCAAGCAGGAACTCGACCCCAGCCCCAAGCAAGAGGGCTTCGATCTCAGCAAGACCGCCACTGCCAGCGGTGAGTCATTCTTATCGATTTTTCATTAACCCTTGCGCTCGTCACGCTACCGATAAGCCGATCTCTGACGTCTCGCTCATCACTATTAGTCAGATATCAGCTTCCGAGTAGTAATTGCTATTTGTTCAGCTTGAGACGATGTCCAGTCAAGCCCTCGGATAGGAATAATCGGCCAAATGATAATTGGGGAAAAGTGGTGCTCTGACAAACGTCGTTGCTTGTCCCGAAGTTCCTAAAAGATCGAACGTACGAACCGTAAAGAGCGTCTTTGGTATGTTTATGGTAATTTGTACGTAGAACAGTACGAGAACGAGTACTTGAATTGATGGAATAGCAAGGGCAATCGGTAGATGAGAATAGAGAGAGAGAGAGAGAGAGAGAGAGAGATAGAGAGCTTTACCAATAATCAATCAATATTGGTCTTTATAAAGTATAATCAATGGCAAACAGACCAATATCTATCGCAGCTGAAGTATCGAAAATGTGGTGTGAAAATAAACGGAAGCAAGCGTTTAACGACCAATCAATGAGAAAACACTATTTATTACGTACTCTTAAGTAATAATGGAGGTGAAGAAGAAGAAAAAGAAAACGAAGGAGAGGATGCAGAAGTCGTAAGCAGTCGTATGCTGTCCGCGTAATCATCTAATTTGGTTGTGTAGAGCAATGGGCCCATCCTTTTGTATGGCGTGACGGGTAGAGTCGTAATGTTACCTCGGCACCGAGTACACTATGGCCTATGAGAAATACACCCGAGCGCGTAACTCTCTCCCAAATAAACGTTGCGTAGCCTTCGTTTTCAATTACCAGGTGGGATTCGTCGCGGCCGGCCGATGCGTCGACCTCGTGAATTCGCCGCGGCGTCGCATAAATTTCGCCGCCACGCCCGCAAAACAACATAATTCCGAGCGCGAGATCGATACATCAAATCCTGCCTGGAGAAATACTTCGGGGCCGCCGTCCCGCGTCCTCAAATAATAATACAAAAATAAAAATAAAAAAAAAAAAGAAAAAAAAGAAAGAAAGAAAGCAAAAAAGACAAGAAAAAAAAAAAGAAACGACTAGAACCGAGGCTCCGGGAACGGCGGCCGTGGGGTGCCGCCGGGCCCATAAATCTCGATCTGCCGAGTCGAGCTGCCGGACTTCATGCGCAAATCTGCCGGATTAGGAGGGCTGCTACTCGGCTCTCCTATATTTTCTTTCATTTTTTTTCTTTATTTTTTTTTTTTTTTTTTTTTTTTTTTTTTTACCCTCTCACGGGCAAGCGACGCGCCTATGAGAAAAGCGCGTGACATTCCGGGCGAGTATCGGAAGGCTACGGCAGCGTGGAAAGGCGGGGATTGGGGTGGTGGTCGGTAGAGAGGGAGGGAGCTTAGCCGAGATAATCCGAGCGGAAAAATTGATGCGTCTCGGTGACTTTAATCGCGGCGGTTCGTGCTTCCTTCGTCGTTGGAAAATCGATTATTTATGATTTTTAACGATTTTTTACTCTATCCCTTGGCTGCGAAGTCGGGCGAGCATCTCGAAGATTTGGCTTCCTCTTCGCTCCTCACGCACCTGGACCGCGAGCACCTGGAGTGCTCATCGTAATCGTTCGCTTGGTAATTGTTGCTCGATAATTTTAATCGATAATCGGGGGCGCGCGTGTGTGCTATTGAGTATCGATCGCACGTCTAACGAATGGCGCTTAGCGATACAAATGTTGGCGTATTATTATAATCCGGCCGAAGAGCTTTTAAAATTATTTAAATCCTAAAGCAGGAGCATGGTAAGCAGCTAATTACGGCCCTGCATTTGAATAATTACGGTGGAATAAAACTCGAGCTTCCAATTGGCAAAATTATTATAATTTTTGTTAATACAAAACGAATGTACTTATATACACTCGAGATATATCGTTGAAATTTCAATGGCGCATGGTTGGTACGATATTCGAATAGTAAGAGACGGATGTAGTTTAGGAGTAGAACCGTGTAGCCAATACCCCTTATGAGAATCTGGATTTTATTCATTCCAATCTCTCTAGCGATTGCTATTAAAGCAAGGGAAAAACAGCGGGAAGTATTAGTTGGTGGATTAAGGTTTTAACGGATTATAGCATTTACGGCTTAAAATCATGCTCGGAGGCTAATTATTGCCGGTGAAAGCTGCGCGTGCGGAGAATTCGCCCAAGCGCACGATAATCCGCGTGTGTTTTTGCATGAATTAGTCGACTTATTCCGCTAATGACTCGTTCCATTGGCTTGTTATTTTTGTACGAAAAAAGTAATAACAATAATAACGAAGGCAAGGGAAGGGCGAGTAGCGGTAATAACGATGACGACGGCGACTCTGACGATGACGACGACGACGACGACGACGACGACGACGACGACGACGACGACGACGACGACGACGACGACGACGACGACGACGACGACGACGACGACGACGACGACGACGACGACGACGACGACGACGACGACGACGACGACGACGACGACGACGACGACGACGACGACGACGACGACGACGACGACGACGACGACGACGACGACGACGACGACGACGACGACGACGACGACGACGACGACGACGACGACGACGACGACGACGACGACGACGACGACGACGACGACGACGACGACGACGACGACGACGACGACGACGACGACGACGACGACGACGACGACGACGACGACGACGACGACGACGACGACGACGACGACGACGACGACGACGACGACGACGACGACGACGACGACGACGACGACGACGACGACGACGACGACGACGACGACGACGACGACGACGACGACGACGACGACGACGACGACGACGACGACGACGACGACGACGACGACGACGACGACGACGACGACGACGACGACGACGACGACGACGACGACGACGAGGACTACGACGACGACCATCAGGACAATCACAAGAACGACCATAACAACGACCATGATGATAAAAACTACGTAGCAGCAAATACAACAACCAATAACGGCAACAACGATAATGATGATAATAATGAGAGCAAGCCGCCTAAACATCATAATGGCGTGTGTACATCAGACGCGTGACACATTAATGCGATGGCTCATCCGGCGGCAAATTCTAATCTCCCTCCCATATAAAATAAAACCATTATTTCCTTAGCATGGATTTTTAAAAATCTCCTCCGCTGCTCCATGCCATAAAAATTGAAACATCACGTAAAGATTCTTATAGGGTAATCCGATCTGGTAAGCTATTACTTCCTCTCTTGTCCTCGGCCTCTATCACGTGGTCTGCCCACTTTTTTTTCCACCTTCTCCGCATAAACGTACGAATATATCCGTAATCTCTTTTAAAATATTATGTTTGTTTTTATTATATTTCTTTTCTGATTTGATTGAGATTGCGGACCATTAAATTCCCGCTCGCGCCTTGGCCATATTTTCTCGCTCTAATACGCGGATCTTCGGTCTTGCTGAACCATCTTGCAAAAACAAAAACATAAATAAACCTTCCCCCACCCCCACCCCCTCTCCCACACACGCGCCACACACACACACACACACACACTCACACACGCACACGCACACACCACACACCAAACACATACATACAAAAAACAGGAATAGTAAATAAAAGTCTAATAATCTCCGGCTTATGTTCTATTGACTTAGTTTTCAATTTACCCAATACATAATGAGCATTTGAATAAAGCGTATGAGAAATTTTAGTCCCGGCAACTTTCGGAACGACTTTGTCATTATAAATATAAGATAGAATAAATTCGGACTTAACCTGCCCGACGAAAAACGTATTTATTATTATTATTAATCTTGGAAATATGCTATGAAACTTGCTCCAACAGCACTCCTTTCATTTTCAATATATGCTCAAGGTTTATTTATATTTATACAGGAGCTAATATATTCTTGGGACATGAATAAAAAGTGTAAATTTGCATAACTGATAAATTAACGCCAATTTAGAATACGTGAAATCGGTGAGGTGTAAATTTACCGCGATCCCTCCACGGTGAGAGAGTCCGGTCTTGAAAATGGAGGGGTAGAGGTAGAGATATAATAATTAAACTTATTCATAAGCAAATCCAATGCTCGAAATTAAAAAGTGCGCAGAGAATAAGCAGGGGCAATCTAATTTTTGCGTTACCCGAGGGATCGCGACAATCTACAAACGCGCAATAAGGGACAGGGCCATCTTGGGCAGGTCGTGTTCGAACAAAGATCGTTATTCGGATGTATGGTAGGCCAATGGAGGAGGGGGTTTGGGGGTTTGGGGTTTTGGTGGTTTGGTGGTTTGGTGGTTTGGTGGTTTGGTGGTTTGGGGGTTTGTGGGTAGGTGGGGATGGGGAGTTTGGGGGTTTGGGGGTTTGGGGGTTTGGGGGTTTGGGGGGGGGGGGGTGAGGAGGAGGAGATCGCGATGGTGGTGAGGCGATGGTAGACGGGAGGACGTGTGGGCCGGAATTTTCATACGACAAGAGCGGACACGTGTATTCGTTGGTGGATGTTGGACTAGAGGAAGGCAAGTTAGGTGAGTCGCGCTTCTCCGTGTTGGGCGAGGCGCATGCGCGGGTATCGATAGACAAAAGGCCTCCACCCCTCGGGCGATCAGTCCCCGTCGTCGATCCTCACCCGATTAACCGATTACGGCGGCTTATTGCGTGCGTGACGGGTGCGCGGGAATACAGAAGAAGCCCGGCTCGAGAGCGCAGGCAGGATCAAGGATAATAGGATGAGCGAGATTCGGGATGTGGCCCCACTCCCGTGCGATATAAAGAGATATTGGCTCGTTAAAGGGACGTCGATACTTCCAGAGCGCCAGTTCGTGGGAATCCGTCGTTTGTGCATGGGGCTCCGAGCTTAAATCAGCGACAATTAGCAAATGACCAACTTAGAAGGCGAGAGGATTGCGCAATCGTTCCCGTTTGTCGAGCTTCTTCTAATGCTGGATAATTGATTTTAGTCGCGTGGGCGTGTATTTGGATAGCGCGTTATTTCGTT